TTGCTTAACAACAAGCACAACAACCATTGTATTTCTAAAGTTTCTTTTCCCCAGGTCAGTTTATGTGGTCCGTCTCTGTCCTCATAACACACAATACCTCCCCTACTAGCATACTTCTCATACTGCATTGTAACTGCTTGCCATTCTGTCTTCCCTAACATATTTCAAGTTCCCTGGTGCAAAGGACTACACCAGTCTTGCACTAGCTTAGGGCTGGCTATATCATGAACTCAGTGTCACAAAACTAACTGGCTGAATGAAGGCTCCCAGTCTTTATCTTCTTGGATTGAGGGCAAAGCAGTTTGCAGAGGGTTAGTTAACAGTAAATTTAGATTCAGAACCAAAGTCATCTGCTTTGTCTTGTAGTCACCCATGGACCTCCAAAAGGAGTTGCCATGAATGCTATGAGAGCAGGAACCACACTTTACTTTGTTCCTCCTTAATCCCCAGCATCTATCACAATCACTGGCTATTTATAGTTATTCTAAAATATTTAGAAGAAAAATGAGAATGAATTAGAACAATGAGAACCCAAGTGAAAAAAAAGTTGTTTTTTTTTTCCTTTCCTCCCTGTCTCCTTTCTTTGTCTCTCTTTTTTCCTTCCTTCCTTCTCTCTTTTCCTCCCTTCTTGTCTCTTTTCTTTTGTTTTTTTCCTTTAATCTCACTGGCTCTATTGAATGTTTACCAGACACTATGTTTACATATAAGGGTGGAAGGTAGCAATTATGGTACAAAGTAAATAACAGGCTTGATAGACATTCTTTGAAGGGGCCTTAAGCACTTCTCTGTCTGTGTAGGGGGGCAGTGGTGGCTGAGGGCATGTTTCTTAAGAAGGTAGGTGACTTAAGGAAGTGATGCTTAAGCTGTAGTGTAAAAAAAAAGAAAGAAAGGGATGAAGGAATGGGAGCACATAGCAAGAACTCAAGTCAAGAAGAGAAGTCATGATGTAAAATCTCAAAAACAACAGAGAACATTGCACATTGGAGGAACTGCAAGAAACCGAATACTGTACTGCTTAGAGAATGAGGTAGGCAGGTCAGGAGATAAGGCTGCAGACGGATCAGATCTCCGTGAGTCTTGAGGGCCAGTTTCTTAAGATGAATGGAAAGCCATAGACGGGCTGAGAGGGAGTGGAATAACACCATCGGATTTCTCTCCAGAAGTCACCCCAACTGGAGAAGAGACGTGAAGGGGTGAAAGGATAAGGACTGAATTGAGTGATGGTGATGGCTTGGTCTAGGGTGATGATGTGGGGGATGAACAGTCATAGAGCTTAGAAGATGTGGCAGAGGTGGGAGAAGTGTCTAGTTTCGATTATATTTTCATACAACTTAGGATCGCCAACCAAGCCACTTAAGTGCAACAAGTCAAATGCCATTTTATTCCACACCGGCCACTACTTTTCCTCTAAGTCCTTACTGGAGGTTTTTCACAGATGTATGATCAGCATAGTTGTGAGTGTAGAGGCCTCAGGGGGTCTAGTTTGAAACCTTCTCCCTTTGAGGAGAGGCAGTCAGTGGGAAAGAAAAGGGACTAGAGGTTATCAAATGAGGAGACAGTGATAAATTATTGCTGGACCATGTATCACACATAAAGATACTACTAAAGACAGATTCCCCTGGAATGAAGCAGTTATACATATTCCAGTTAGATAAAGGCCTCTCTACTCTGCCACATGACCCAGGATCTTGGGATGAGGGGCTTTATCATTTGCTACATTATAATTTTATCTTTAGAAGGCAAACCCACAGAAAGAACTGCTATTGTTTAGACAATAAACTAAAGGATATAAAATAGACACCTTATACTGGCTGTGGATGTGCAAATGTTCTCTGTATACGCATGTCATTGACTCACAGAGGGATGGGAGAAAACTAGAATTTACCATTTAGAGATTTTCAAAGAGACAAGGTTCCAAAACGTTTGAGAAACAGTAAAATAAAAGTCCTACAATTACTTTGATCATGAAGGCTAAACATTTATTTTGTTGTTTTGGCATTTGTTAAAACATATATAACATAATTATCAATGTTTACATTCATCACCCTCCATGCTCCACACTCACTGATGGCAACCACTGGAGACCCAGAAATAACAGAGACATCACCCTTGCCCCCAGGGAGTTTATGATCTATTAGGGAAGACAAAGGAATTAATAGTACCTTAATATGACAAGTATCATAATAGATATATGTATAAAGAGCATAGGGAAGGCAGGGATTAATTCCTAGTTATTTAATTGTGTGTATAATTCTTTATAATTGACACCATGAATTGACACTGGGGAACGCCTATGCCTCAGAGCATCCCAGGAGAGGCATCAAAGGTAAGATGACTCGGTCAAGATACTAGGACCAGGAGACCAGGGTCATCAACCCCAGGTTAAAGGAGGCTCTAAACCTAATCCCTCTATGATATCATACTAAATGTGTCTTTTTATTATTATTTATGAAAAGCACTGGACTGCTAACCACAAGGTAAGTGGTTCAAACTTACTAGTCGCTCCTTGGAAACTCTAGACAGGGTTGTTTTGAGTAGGAACCAACTCCACAGCCCTTAACAACAACAACAATAACATTATTAAGATAGAGATTTAGATTTCATATAAAGAACCAAGCCTAGTCAACAATTTCAGGTACTGACGTGTGATGAATTTGGTCTTGAGCTTCCAAGTTTGTTCTTGTGAAAATTTGTCACAAACTTTATAACCTGTGGCAAAGTAGGATAAGCAATGGACCACAAGGTTGGTTTGAACTGCAAGGCTGGTGGTTCAAATACACCAGCTGTTTCTCAGAAATCCCATATAGTCTCTACGTGTCGGAAACAACTCTACGGCACTCAACAACAGCAAGGCACCCTGATGGTACTGTAGGATAAACACTGGCCTGCTAATCACAAGATAAGCAGTTCAAATCCACTAGCTGCTCTGAGGGAGAAAGATGAGGCTATTTGCTCCCCTATCCTCTAGTTTGTGGTAGTTCATTAAAAAAAAATTCATTTATAGCCTCGGATCTATAAATAAATTTAAAAATATTTATAAATATAAAGACCAAGCTTGAGAAGCAAACAGATCTGGTTCAAATCTGACTCAGCACTCATTGGTTATTTCAGTCCTCTGCTACTCAGGACCCTGTGTGGCAAACTGGGGAAATGACACTAAATAATAAGATATAAGTAAAGAGATCTGGCCCAGAGTAGATGTTTTGGCTTTAACTTTACTTGTTTTGTCATCATTCTAGTCCCAGCTACTAACATCTCTTACCTGGATTGTTGCAAACGTTTTTCTTTATTCATTTTGGATGACTCCAATCTATCTGTATTTCCACCATTGAAAAATAGAAATCCTCAACATAATCTATAATATTGCTTTCCAAAGTGCAGACCATTTGTCATTAGAGGGTCATAGAAACAGTTTTTTTGTGAGTCACCACTGGAACTTATAAAAGAATGAAATAGAATAGAAATATCTGATTGCAAAGTGAATTGTAAGTATAAATATTGTCTTGAAACTTGCTTTTGCATTGTAGGTCTTGTCAAATAGTTAAAGGTCTTTGATCTATAATACGCTGAATGATAGGAACCCTGCCTCCTTTTGCCCCATTTCTCATACTTTTCCCCCAAACTCTCTGCTCTCTACTCATCCCACCTTTCCTTATAATCCTCCAACATAACCATGTAACCTTCTGCTGGGAGACCCCTTTGCACAAGCGGCTTTCTTTCTGCCTAGTTACCCCGAGCAGTTTGGATCTATCATATGCTCAATGGGTGGGTCTGGGGAGATGAGACTTTCTGCTCCTGTATGGAGTTCTGGTGTGGTGCTGTGGCCTGCAAGGCTCCTCGGAAATCTTATCCAGGGTTGTTATGAGTTGGAATCACACAACCACCACGATTTACTGTCTACTTATCCTTCATATCTCAACTCAGCTGTCAGTTTTTCAGACATGCCTTCCTGAACTATATCTCGGACCTCCTTGCTGTTAAGATTCACGATCCGTTTTTAATTATCTTTTTAATAGCATGATTATCTGGTTCACGATGAGCTTTTAGACTACATGATTCATGATGACAGGCATCCTGTATTTGTTAGCTATTGGAACCCAGGGTCCACCCCAGGCTGGCATGGGTGACTGACAGATGAGTAAAGGAATGAATCATCTAACTTACCTCCTTCCTTTCTTGGTATGGGTGTTGTTTCTAACCACTGCACCAGGTAAACTAAGGCAGAGATGTCCAGTCTGGCTAGGTTAGAATCTTCCTATAACAAAATTGATTTGGGTCTCAAGGCTTCTGATCTGCCCAAACAAACAAACAAACAACAAAAAAAAAACCCATCAAAATCTTGTAAGTGTGGGCATGGAAGCGAAGAGATGGAAAATAATATTCATAAGAGAAAGGAGCCCTGGTTGCCTAGAGGGTTACGAATTGGGTTGCTAACCACAGCGTCAGCAGTTCCAACCCATCAGCTGCTTCGTGGGAGAAAAATGGTGCTATCTAGTACGGTAAAGAGTTACAGTCTCGGAAACTTAGTTCTAATCTGTTTTATAGGATCGCTGAGTCAGACTCGATGGCATTGGGTTTGGTTTGGGCTTGGTTTCAGAAAACATTGGGCCCATCTGCTCCGAAGAGCCCTAGCTCAGCGAGCTTCTCACACCTTACTTTGCTCTCTGGAGAACTCTGAGACAGGCTAGTCCAGAGGTTTCTGGACTTCCCCATCCCTTCCCAGTCTCTTGGACTCGTCAGAACCCGCCCTGAACTTGTACTAGTCGAAGTGCGCGTCCCAGCTGATTGCAAAGAAAAGGAGCTTCAGCGGCAGGTGACCTGGGTCTCCAGGCCCGAGTGCATCCCGGGGGACGTTGTGTGCATCCCCAGGCCCTGGGCTTCTGCAGCCATCTTCAGAGAGGGAGGGACGGAGGCGCGGCCTCGGGACGCCGACCCGCCCCCGCAGCCTGGGCCGCCCAGCTGAGCTCTAGCCGCGCAGCGCCTGGTCTTCCACTTCCCCTCCCAGCTCTGCCCGCCTGCAGAGCCCGCGCTGCGGCCGCCTGCCCTCGGCCCTGTGGTGCTCCGAGAGGCCGCCATGGGCATCGCGCGCTGGCTCGCGTTGGGCAGCCTGATCGCCCTGGTGGGACTGTTGAAAGGCCGGATTGTGCTCGAAGAGGAGGCTGGCTTTGGCGAATGTAACAAGTTCTTCTACGCCGAGACCCCACCCGCGGGCCTGGCCGCCGATTCCCACGTGAAGATCTGTCAGCGCTGGGAAGGTGCCGAGCGCTTCGCCACGCTCTACAACACCCGGGACCGCATCCCTGTGTACTCGGCGTTCCGCGCGCCGCGCCCCTGGGCCCGCGGCACTGAGGAGCGCTGGCTGGTGGAGCCGCAGGTAAGAGAGGTGGTCCCAGAGTCCGGAACAACTGCGGGGTCCAGGCTGTTTTCCTCCCTGGAATATTTAGCATTTGCCCCGAGGGCAGAATCGGGAAATACATCCCCCCCCCCCCATCCTTTGGGTGCCTTGGGCCTGGAACCCGCGGTTTCGGATCTACCCCACCGCGTTCCGGGAGATAGAGCTTTCCTCATCCCCTGTCAAAGCCACGATTTGTCTCTGCAAGCCTTCGCTGAAGCCACCGGGTATTTCTCCTGACATTTCAGCGCAGTCCTCTGCAGTGTCTCGTTTATTTCCTGAGTAGTGAGGAGCAAGAGACAAAAACCCAGGAGACGATTCAGACCGTCGGAAAGTGGAGGCTGGGTGCACAGGAGTGGCGCAGGTTATGGCCACAACTTTTGGGGTCAAGAGTGGGTGTTTTCATCCCCATTTTACAAAGATGGAGATCGAGCCTGAGGTGGAGCTCGTGAAGAGGCTGGTAAAAAGGTGGCGCAGGTCTTTGAGCTATATGTTCACTTCGCTTCTACAGGGAACATCCTAGCGTGAAAATCTTTCCCCTCTACACATGACATCTAGTAAATTCGCGTTAGGACATGTTTTGTTTGGGCAATAAAATAAAGGTATCGATTTTTAGAAATGTAATGGGATAGTTATAAATAGTAAAGAAACATTCACTACCTCCGTCTGATAGGAAAGACGAACCAGTTTTTCCTGACTCTACGTATCTATTTTATCAGACCATTTGGAAATCATGTTCCCTCCCTGGTGCTCTGCCCTGTCTGATGACAGTGATCAAAACATTCAAGGTCCCTAGAAATCCTAACAGACCAGCATCTCTCCCCACCTCTGCTGGGCCGGGCCTCTTCTCTAGAACATCCAGCTAAGCAAACTCCCTTTTTGCTGGTTCTCCACCTCTCACCAGCCAGAGAGGGGTGGGGGTGGGGGGCCCTGCAGCCAAGGCCTCCCTAGTTGGGGGAGGAGCCGACACGCCCAGCACTGCTCATTCTAGTTGGCCACAGTCAGACTAGGACCACTAGTGTAAACTGGAGACCAGAGGACTCTATCTGGATCAGATATTCTTAGCTCTGAGATCTTGGCTAGGTCTCAAGCAATATGCCCTTCAGTTTTCTTACCTTTTCCATATCCATTTCCTCTACCTCAGTTGTTGACTTCTTTCAGGTCGATGAGATCAGGTATGAGATCATACCTTTGTAAATTATAGAAATACATGGCATATTTTAATCTAAAATTAGTTTGTCTCTAAGGGCACCCCTAGGGCTCTCAGTGTGTTCCTCAGCCCATTATTCACAGTGATGATGGCTCTGTGAAGCCAAGATTGCCTGTTCCTTTTTCCTTGAGGATCTCAAGGACTCCTTGGAGAGACAGATTATACACATGAGATAGACATGAGAATATATGCTAAAAAAAACCCTTTTGATTAAATTCAGAACACAATTAGTAATCACCTACTGTATGCCAGGCACTTGTGAGGCCAAGAGAATTCAATGTAGCACCTGAACTTAAGGTTCTGTAGCTGGAGCTTGCTGTATAGGCATAGCATTTGATTAGAGTTAGGCTGCCTGGGTTCAAATCCCAGTGGGTTCACATTCCACTTCTTCTGTGGATTAGCTGTAAATGTGGACAGGTTAACTTGGAGATGCATCACAGGGTGGTAGTGAGGATTAAATGTGTTCCTACATGTAAAGGTGTCAGAGAGGTGTCTGACACATAAACACTAGCTGTTCTTTATGACACAAGCAAAAGAAACCAACATAATTTAATAAAGGTAAACCAAGTCCTATTAGATTCAATCAGTCTTTAAGGTGATAAGGAAAAGCTTTAGGGTTAGGATATGTGTGCTCTGCCTGAAAGGATGAGGCTGGATGCAGCAGGAGACAAGCAGGAGGAAGACATTGAAAGCAGAGAGAACATCATGAGTGAGCAGTGCATGGCTGATTTAGGGATTATTGCACAGGGAGTGGTTGCAACAGCTCAGCTAATGTAAGTGAATAGAAGCTAATATAAGTGACTAGACTAAGGGAATATTGGAAGGGAGGGGTCAGGTATGAAGGAGTAATCAAGGAAGGCTTAAGGAGGCAGAGACACTTGTACAGCTATTGAAGGAGTCACAAGGGGCTTGACTTGGCAGAGGAAGTGGACAGAACCCAGTCACATAGGCAGTGGAGAAGCTGGTGCCTTAGTGGAGTAATGAGGAATGAGGTTGGGGACAAATCAAGAGGATGGGGAGGGTGGTAGACCTAGTATCAAATGGCAGCTTGAGAATCAAGATGTACAGCAGTTCTGAAAAGTATAAGAGGCCAAAAAAGTACCAACCAGAATAATTATTTGGGTGTTTCTGCTTGTAAGACGAGGGTTGTCCCCAGCCTCAGCCAGCCAGGAACCAGAAATATTAGAAGGGAGGGAAGGAAACAGTAGGCTGAGCTACCAGATGTGGGTGGGTTCCAGGAGCAGTGGAGCAAACCTGACTCCCCAGAGGCTTTCCTCAAGCCAAGGTCTTTAGAGCAGAAAGATGCCCAGGGCTCAGTGTGTACTTTTGATTGCTTCAGAGTGGTTTCTAAAGGGAGTCATCTTGTACCCACATTGCCTTTTTATGAGGTCAATGTTACCAAGTGGCCCAGCAGGTAGGGGAGGGGACAGGAGACTAAAGGTGGCTTGGTGCTTGCCTTCAGGAATGTGTCAGATAGAACTAGACTGACATTGAGACTCCCAAGGTCCAATTTAGCAGCTTTGTGACTGTCCTGAAGTTTCTCTTTGGAAAAAAGCTCCTAAATCAAAGATGACAGAAAATTAATGACTCTTGTGCTTAAAGCCTCTAAGGTGTTGGCTGCCCAACAACAACGGGACAAAGTTCAAACCACGGAATGCAGTTTACAAGGCCCTCCATAGTATGGCTCTGGTCTCCAGCTCCAGCCCTGTGTCTTACCTCTCCACCCTCACTCACATTTTATGTTCTAGTGTGGTGCTGTGGGTTAATGCACCGGACTGTAAAGTTGTTTGAACTGCAAAGTTAGTGGTTCAAACTTATCAGCTGTTCCTTGGAAACCCTGTTCAGGGTTGTTATGGGTCAGAACCGACTTGATGGCACTTAACAACAACAACATTGCCCAACTGCCTGAAGTTCTTCTCATAAACCAAACTGCTTGTCACATCAGTTTCTTTATTCATTCTGATTCCCTTTGCCCCCAATGCCCAGTCAAGCAATATTCAGAGACTTCACAAAGTTTGTGGAAAATGGAATGAAAAGATAATGGAATTTTTCCACTAACTTTTTGAAGCCCCTTCTTATTTGCCCACATAAATGCTTCTCAGGGTGTGACTGGCTCCAGATTGAAGGAAATATTCTGATTAAGAACAAAAACATTTTTCTCTAGAAGGTCCAATGAGAACGTATTTAAAACTTTAGTATATGGAACATGAAAAGTTGCCACCAGTTAGAATCTTTACTAAGTCCTTGGTCTTTAATTTCCATCAGTGGGTTTTTACATAATTTTAAACTATCAAAAGAATTCTATAATGAATTTTAGCATCAATCTTCTTATGTAGAACACATACACTCTGTGTAGGGAACTTACCAAATCTGATTATTACCTTTTACTTAAGAGACTTGAGTTCAGGCTCCTACTCCACGAACGATATGACCTCAGTTTTTACCAGCCCGATTTTTCTGATCAGTAAAGTGAAAGTAGCAACAGTCTTTACGTCATAGAATGGTTGTGACAAATAATCAAGATAGCATATGTAGGAAGTACTTAGGACATAGTAAGTTCCTGATGAATATTAATGTATATGCTTTATTAAGATCTTACCTTAATAAGTGTTAGTCACACACATACACACACATGAATGGAATGTTGGATTACATAGATGAGTTCTACAGTTCTACTAGCATCTCCTAAAATATAAAATATGGAGGTCAGTTGTCAAACCTTACCATCCATCTGTTCATCTTCTTAAGTCCTTGACATTTGTCCTACATTCATATAATAGAAATGCATAGCAAGAGATTGCACAAATGGAAGATTGAATGAATGGGTTGATTGAGTTATGTGATTTTAACAACAACAACAAAGGTGTCAGAGACCTTCACTCTTTCTGTCCTGAGCAACCCGAAGGCATGTTGTCACAAAACAAACACAATGAGCAATGACATTCCAATCTATTATGCTAACCCTGGGTACACCTGGGACGCACCTAACTCAATGGCTTCAAAGTAATTCATCCACAATTCCCCACTCACTCGGGTGCAGAAAGCAAAAACTGGAGCCACACATGCTGTCCTTCTTTGCATTTATCTCCTTTTCTGGATTTGTCTTCTTTATTGAGTTCATTTTTTCCATTTGAGTTACAGGTTGTTCTCAGGAGTGAATTCAGGTTCTTAGCTTACGTTGGCAGAACAATTTATCCTGAAACAGTTCTGTGATAACATCACTCTACTGTTCCTTCAAGTCAGACCTAAAATTTAACAATCCAGGGAAGGAACTAGCATTTCTTTATCTCTTATTGTATGTAAAAGATTTTACAAGTCAATTCATCTCATCCATGTAATGAAGAAGCTCTGGTAGCGTAGTGGTTACAAGTCGGGCTGCTAACCACAAGGTCAGCAGTTCAAAACTAACAGCCATTCTGTAGGAGAAAGATGAGACTTTCTGCTTCCATAAAGAATTACAGCCTCAGAAACCGTATACAGGGTCATTATGAGTTGGAACTGACTTCACGGCATATAACCACCACCGTGTAACAACTGTCCTAGGTAGGTATTGTGGTCTATGATTTACAGTATAGGAAACAAATACTCAGAGTGGTCAAGTGATTTAGCCAAGATTACACAATTGTTGGATAGCAAAGCCTGAATTGGTGCTTATGGTCTGCCAACTCCAAAACCTTTAGAGCTCTCTTTCTACTCTACCATGCTGCTTTCCAATTAAAATGCCAGTGTTTTCTCTCTAGATTCACACTGACTTTAAACTTTTTTATTTTAA